TGCTCAGCAAAGTGAGTGCCTGACTTGCTATCACCGCAGAGATGGGCATCCCAAAGCAGCGTATGACATCATTACTGAAGGATTTACAGAGCTTCCACATGGAAATTTCCAAATAGTGGCAATTTTCCAACAGGTCTTTCTTGCTCCCAAGTTACACAATATGTCAGCTGATAATAACTTTCCCTTCTGGTGTGGTGGAAGAACGTAACCTCTGCTGAGATCACACAGGCAATGAGGACCACCTTGTTTGTTTGTTCTAGCCTTCCACACTACTCAGGAATCTGTGGTCATCATTCCCTGAGCACCTGTGCTGAAATGGCCATCTTCAAACAGAGAAACAAGTGCGTAAGAACTGATTTTGAGCAATTCAGGTCAGAAATTACATGAATTTTGACTATTAAAACAGCAAAAAAGAATAGTGAGGATAAAACCTCAGTGGAGCTGGCCCAGTTTATAAAGAGGATCACACAACACAGTTACTTGCAAGAGCAGATACTGCGATGACAAGTCTGCAACCCCTCCTGATTCAGTGTGCCTAAACTGATCTTTTAGAGCAAGTGATGTCATCTGCCAAACATGTGACAGAGGGCGAGGCCTACAGATATCAGACAGGTACAGTAAACGTGTTTATTCAGCTATTAAGAAACTGAATAGCTACTACAGCTTCTGTAGAAGCAGTTAGAAGACACTTTGGAAATAGAAGGAAGGAGAGGAGGCTTGGAGATGAGTTTGAGGAGTCTCCCAAAGAAAGTGACAGAATGAAAGAGAGCAACAGAGATACCAGGGAAGACAGAAAGCCACAGCAAATTAGGTTAATTTGCTATCAGATTTATAACTATCAGATTTATTGAGTGTGTTGCAGTATTGCTGAGAGGCTTCCAGCAGTGACCAGTCCCCTACTGTGCAAGCTACTGTATCCACAGGCAGCTGACAGACAGTCCCTACCCTAAAGAGCTCAGAATTACAGGAATGACAAGATGCAACAGGCAGATGAAGCAATGTTAGATGTAACGATCCCTGCCCATTACACTTCCTCCAGGTCTTGGACCAGGGTAAACAGAGGCTGCAGATGAAGATGCTGTCGCTTGAGAAGTGTTTTTCTCCAATCAGAGCAGAATTTTGATCAATGTTACTACTCACCCCAAGCAAGCATCCAGCAAAAACAGTAAATCCTTTTGCATGAAGCAGTTTTGCCAAGGCATGTCCAAAACCTTTGTCACAGCCTGTTATTAGCACCGCCTTCCCTTCAGCCTGTGTGGGGAAAAGACAGGAACACAATACCATCAGACACTGCGATGCTGCAGGGACCACCAGCACTGAGCGACGTCGCAGAGGAGCCACGTGCAGCCCTGCAGCCAGGGCTGGCCAGTGTTGAGGAGGTACAACTCCAGCTGCAAGCCACAGAGGGCATCTACCTGCCTGCATGCTAACCTGACTGCAACCTAAACCCAACTGTTTCAGTGGAGCTTCTCCTGGGTCAACCAGCATAAACAAGATTCCTGTGTAGAAACACAACCAGCTCCCAACTACTGTGAAACCCTACATTTATTCAGTTGCCAGCATGTACCATTTTGCGTTGCCTTCACACCCAAGCTAGAACAGTAGCATTTTCTTTCAAGTATCAGTAGCCAAAACAGAACAGAAACATTTCAAAAGAAGTTAGTGATCTACCAGCTCACAGGCATTATAAGAAAGAGCAGCATAAAAACCATCCAAATGACAGTATGTCATCTGCTTGAACTGTACAGCAGCTCTTTTAACTGCAGAGTGACTTTCTATTGTCTGTTCTCTACCCACTCCCACTCCACGCAGTACTTTCCATGCTGTATTTTACCATGCAGGAATGTGACTACAGGTTAGGGTTTCCTTCTGAAACACCACAGTCTTAACAGGAACAACTTATCAAATCCTACAGTTCTCTCCTACATCCTCATTATCTTTTGACTGACAGATAAATTGAGAGAGAAGATTTGATACTCCATCTGGTATGACACAAAAGGCTTGTGACAGATCTGAAAACAGAATCCCGGATCCTGAAGAGAAGCCTGTACCAAACCACTTCCCATTCACCCTCTCTTTGCTTGAAAGTCATCTCTCCCCTGCCCTCCTCAACACAGCTGTGAAGCCACAAACTCCTAAGGATTAGCCCAGCTTGCAGGCGCCCAGCTGCACGCTGCTCCAAACTGAAACCGCATCTGTAAGGTAATAGTGTGATACAGTAATAAACATCTAGAGAATGCAATAAGGAAGTGAGGTCACTTCCATCTCTGTGGAGAGATCTGCAACTAATATTGCCTGTTACTGTATTAACAACAGCTGGAATATGAATATTTGCATTTTATACTACTTGTGTATGAATTGCACCAGCTTGTCCAGACAGAAATGGGGCAATCACTGGTGATCTCTGATCTCCTGTTTTGCTGACATGCATGGTAGTGAAGCAGCAATAAGGAATAATTGCAGGGTGATAGTGATCAGAGCAGTACTGCACAAACCCAAGATGTGCAGTAAGCAATAAGCAAATAAGCTACACCCTGTCCTGTATCTCACATTGAAGCTACTGCTTTCAAAGGGGAGTCATGAGCTGAAGCTGAAACGAGAACTAATCAAAAGTCTGTCGTGCATTTATCATACAAACACCCACATTAACACAAATTCCTACGCTCAGGCAAAGAGCACTCAGCTACAGGCTAGCTCTACTAAAGCTCTGAAAGCTACAACTAAAGGACATGCAATGAAAATTAAATATACTGTGCTCTGTCTTAATCTAATTTACAGTAACACAACAACTGTAAGAGAAATGAGGATCAAGTATGAACCAGATCACAGAATCTGCCAAGATTACGTCGCACATTAATTCAGCAATCTAGTCCTCAGAGAAGACTTTTTTGTCTGCCTCATCTCCCTGGACCCTTTGCCTCTGAATCCTGAGGACAGGAGGCTTCCCAAAAGAGCAGCAAGTGAGCAGAAGATAAGGAGTTGTGATCACTTTGAGAGCCCAAAACAGGCAAACACAAAAGATGCCCAATCCTCAGCCATCATTAGCTCCCTCAACAGCTGGTCTAATAAGGACAGAGATCAGCTACAGGAAATAAAAGCAAATGGCTGAGTTGTGTTCCCATGTGCATCCAGCTTTAGCTCTTAGCAGCTGGTTTGCTTTCTCACGTTAAAAAAAAAACAACCCCAAAACACCAAACCACCAAAATGTTCACAGATAAGGAGGCTTAAAAATCCTTGCAGCTGTTACACTGAAAAAAGTGAGGAACAATTTACAGTTTAAGGAAGTTCCTGTGATTATTTGTTAATTATATGATATTACCCTAATTGCTGGTAATAAAACTTCTCTACTGAAGCATGGTTTAGAACAGTAGTGCTAACGAGCACGCAAAGAAAACCCAAGGGATGTAACAGCTCTCTCATCTGTAGCTGTCCCGGTCTTTGTGCCATGCCTGGTTGACAAAGAGCCCCCAGGGATGAGAGCAGGGAATGACCCCAACCCCGTTCCCAACCCAAAAGATCCTATCCCCAAAAAAACTCTGAAAAGCTTGATCATCCTTATCTTTTGAAAGTCCCAAGATAAGGCCTAATGGGCCTCCTTCCTGGAGTTTGGTAAGGTCAGTCTGCAGCTTACAGTTTGACACAGTGCCGAGACAGGCAGAGAGGACTAGCTATCACCTCTCTAGCAGGCACCGCAGTGACCTTCATCAGCGTTTTGAGGAACTTCAGGTGCCTCACTCACTAACGGTGACCACAGGCTCTCAGGAAATACCGCAGAGGAGATGCATTCATGTACGGTGCTGCCAGGGTACCCAAGACCTGCTCAGAGCACTTCCACAAGAGTAACTCCTTGTACTGGCGGTGCTGCTGTGGCATCCGGGCAGGGTAATACTGTCTGCACCCTCGCTGTGTGAGCCACAGCACTGCAATACGTGTTCCACGCAGTTCAAACAGCCCCAGCGAGGCAGCCTGATTTTAACCTGCAGCCAGCTCAGGTGCACGCACCTCACTAGCTTTTCCTACTGGAATATGATCATTTTATTAAATAGTAGAATTTATTTTACTCATGCAGGTGATCTATTAAAATTACACACATCTATTGCAAAAGAGGCTAATGAGAGGAAAGCTACTTTTTCAGCCTCAGTCTCTCTCGACAACATGGGATCCCACCATGCTTGTCTAGACTTTATCTTCTTCTTCTGTGTCACCTGTTTTCTGGATCCTGCTCCCTTTTCTGTCCTCCCCTGGCAATCTGCTCATTATCGAACAGATTAATTTGAAGATGAGAGCAGTTACATAGTAAACTTTGCTTGTTCCCTTTTACAAGAGTCAGCAAGTTGGGGTTTTCAATCCCAGGAAAAGGAACTGAAAATAGTCACTAAAGGGAAGGTATCTTCTCCGGTGGGAGAAGGATGGGGAACGTCAGAGGAGCAGAACAGGTGGAAGGAGAGCAAAGTGGGAGGTTGCAAATGGGCCAAAGCTGTTATCTGGCCGTTTCAGAGGGGCAGGACCGAGCTGGAGGCGCTGGAGCACAAACACGTTCGCTTTCAAGTTCTGCGAGAGAGGGTGTCCGGAGGGTAAGCGAGAGCCAAGTCACCTCCCACCCCGTGAAAGAGCCCCGGACGCCTTGTGTTATTTTTAAAAAACATATAATAAAGAGGCTGGTTGTGCTTCTTCTCTCCCTTACGCCGAGTTCCACAGGTAGAACACCGGAACAAGATCCGGGCG